AACCCCTTTGAAGTCAATCCCATGCCACCATTATTCATGAAAAAAAAAGCCTAAATAAGAGTTTTGCCTAGTTTTCTCAGTGTGCTTTGAACTTCGTCATCCTACACTTCGGTTATTCATGGATAGAGCGCCTTTGCCATAGTGTTCAAATGACTGCCTGGTTGTGTCAAAAGAGAAGGTATCCATGAAGCGCGGTTTCATCTCTTAAAAAAGGAAAATTGATCCTTTAGAATCACCAAAATGGCAGTGGCAAGAGCTGCCATAATACATTTATCTGAGGGCCATTTAGGAACAGCACAGAGCAAACCACAACGTTAGTATGTCATCTTTTTATTACTTTGTTAAACAACCCTCTCAGTCCTGTATTTAGCAGTGGAAAGCACGATGGGAGGGTTGCTAATAGCACTGGTAATTTCATGTGAGGTGAATATTTGTGTATCAGTCAGCACACCTAGCAACTGTGTGTGTCCAGCAGCTTGCATTGTCGCTCTGGCATTAGATGGCGATGACTTCCAGCAGTCAGCTATCTAGGGTGGCTTGGGAAATCTGGGTTCAGGCTTTGATTTATAGCTCTCCCGATGAGCAGCTGAGGATCTGGGCCTCTGTCCTCCCCACAGCGTCAGCTGGGAAAGGCAATGGGGACCCAGCATCCATTAAGAAAAAGAAGCAGAAGGATGCCAGGTATTAGGGCAGAGGAAGGGGGCAATTCCCAAGGTGGCAGGAGGCTGAAGGCCAAAGAAGGTCAAGCAGAGGGATGCCCAGCTCATCCTTACAAACCTAATGATATGGGGGAATGAGGCTCAAGAGTGTTAACTTGAAAGGGGTGGATGTCCTGCAGCAAAGTGCCATTCTCTGGCCTACCCCCCAGCTCTAGGAGCAGGAAATAGCCACAAAGGAGTTCTTAAAACCAGTCTCCCTTTGAGCATCAGAGATTTTGTGCAAAAACAGTCAATTAAAAATGAAGAAGGGGATGGGAGAGGAGGTCGTGCACAGGCTTGGAGGTGACTGCATGGGCACCAGTGCCATTTCAGGGACTTTTCTTTCTCCTTCTAAGGTGACATCCAAAACCCTTCCCTGCTACAATACCGGCCCCAGCTTGCTTAAAATCCTCCTTTTCCCATCAGTTCTGGCATGGAAACAGCTTTCTGGTGACAATTGCAAATGTGCTTGGGGAGAAAGGGGCAAGGCACTCATTATTTTTATCAGCCTCCCACAGCAGAAGTTGAAGTTCTATGGAAAATATGTAATTTTAAATGCATTTATTTATGTAAGTTTTAAATCAAAACAGTTTCTGACTAGCATGTTCCCCTTAGCTGGAACACTAAAAAATAGTTGTTGGGTCATGGCTGGATTAGCTGGAGGTGACAGTCTCTCTCTGTGTCCCTTTCCCTTCTCCTTTCTCTCTTCTACAGACTGGAATCATTTTATCCTCTCTTTTATTTTTTCCCACTTTACTATAATATAATTATCTGTATACAGGCAGCATAATGTCATGTTGTTACCAACATCTGCAGTGTTCTCTCACATTTGTCCTGGCTGTAGGGCTTGTTATCCATCTCTAGCTATTAATCTTCTGTTGAGTCTTGAAGCAGGCAGAAAGCAGCCAACTGTGCTGCGGCCACAGCCGTGCTGACCAAGAGGGTGATAAAGGTTCCCTTTGCGTGTGTGTGACAAATGTAATTCTCATTTGCATTCCTTAGGATAAATGTCACTTTCCTGAAGTGCAGCGTGGTTACTAAATTATAGGAGAGACAGACATAAAGATTTAGGATTAAATTCTGCCCTGTCTCCTCTGTCTCTCTCCAGATCTTTCCATCCACCTATATTGAGGTGTTCTGTTTCCATTTAGGCTTTCTCCACAGGAAGCTTTATCTTTACCAAAGTGATGCGCTGCGTCCTTTTGGTGGTATTTGAGGTCAGATTATCAGAACAGTTTAGGATTCAATTTTCCATGGCTGCCCTGGAAAACCTAGCCACTGGTTTAGATATTCAAATGGGAGCTGACCCAGTCGTAGAGTATTTCTAGCGAGGCATTATTAAACATGACCTGCTTCTCAAAACGCTGTCCTTCCAGGGCTGGGTGTCTGGATGCATTAGCTGGTACCTGAAGAAACTGGCTGTAGGAGAACCTCAGTTTTAAGTTCATTTAAGAGCTAGTCAGGTATCCTGACATGAAATTTCCTCATTTGCATGCAGTGAAACACTGTTCTGTCAGCTTTTCCCCCCGTTTCAAACTACCAGGATGCCTTCCAAAACCAGCCCCATTGAGGCAACTGCGAAGTCAAAAAGCTTGCTTACATGGGAGGATGAAAACTGATGCAGCAGGTCAAACCCTGGTCTCATTTTCACCTATACAGAACATGGATCTGTTCTTTGCAGCGTGGGCAGTGCCTCAGTTCTGAATCTCGGGAACTTCTGGGTCTGATGCATTGCCAGTATGTAGTTGTCTAATCTCTGGTATGCAGTTTTGAAATAGTTTAGCTATGGTTCCCTGAGGAGGTTTGATTTAGTGTGATTGAGATCAGAAATCGAAGAAGAAAGAATTATCCTGGGGAAGAATGGAAATCTGTCATGTAGAAATGCCATTTTCAGAGCTTTGGGATATGGTAGTTAAGTGTAAATACAGAATAAATGCTTCTTCTTTAAGCCCTTTAGTTATTCCTCAGTGGGAGACAGGGAGATATATGCAAATTATTTCCAAGCTGCCTAATCCTGCAGTAAATCAAGTAGTTAGAAATGACAATGAATTAAAGATTGAAGCTTTTGGTAGTTAGAGGCAATTTCGTTTTGATTTACAAAGACTTCTTGTAGGCTCAGGAGTGTGACTGAAATACTTTTCCTCTCTTTGAAGCCCTTACTTACCTGCCCACCGGTAACAAATGACATTCAGCAATAGAAATACAGTGCTGCTCTTTGTAATTTATGGTGCTAGTGATTTTCACATGATCACAGGTTTCTGCTATGGAGAAGCTGGGTCTTGGTTTTTGAAGGTGGAACAGACACTTTGCATTCAGTTAACACATCATTTGGATGCACGTTTATATTGACAGATGCGTATCTTCTGTGATCGCATGGTTATAACACGTAAGGATGAATACACACCTTGTAATGTTAACACTGAAACGGCTGGAAGAGTGTAACACAGCCAGTCTGTGAGACTGTCTTTTCTGGTGAACCTCAGGAGTAACTTAGTAAAGCAGGTAAGAGTCGTGTTGGTACAGACCAGCATGACCCAGTCTAAGCACTGACACTAAACGCATGTGTAGGCAAAGCATGATGCCATTTACTTCTTTTTTTTCATTCCACCTTATAATTATAATTGCAAAAGCGGTGGAGGAGGCCCTGTGCTCTCACTGTGTCATTTGTTGTCCATCAGGAAAGGTGATTCAGTATTTCATCATCTGTCCCAAAAGGACAAAGCCTCAGCCATCAATATGGGTTTGAGCATATGTTATTGAAAAGAAACTGACTGAAAAAGCAGCACAGTAACCCGAGTGCAATCACACAGAAAAAAACCCAACCAAAACCCACAGGGATGTGTTCTTGTAGTAAATCCTGTGTTTACTAGGAAAAAAGACCCCAGGAATGAGGCTAGGTGCTTGCACATGCCAAGAAGGGGCTGAGAGGGACCAAGCAGGCAACAAGCTGGGAGCAGGCACTGACCCCACTCTGTGCGAGTCCCTGGGGCACACCCCACACTCGAGTGCATCCACTCCCCATCTCTCCAGCAGGCTCAATAGGAAGGAGGGGAGGATGGCAGTTCCCTGTCCCACAAGTGATGCATCTGAGCTTTGCTCACAGCTCCTCCAGCCTGGCTCTTTCTGGCTTGAAAGTGGCCACCTCAGGGACCAATACCACTGAAAGCAGTCCTGTCAAGGCTTGGGTTTTGTCAGCACCTTGAGGAGACCTTCCCTGAAGTGCTTCTTCCAGACAGGGTTTCACTAAATAAAGTGAGCAGCACGTACATGGTGCTGACTGCTCAAATAACCAAGAGCTACATGAGCACTTTCCGATGCAGCATCCCTCTAACATTCCTATCGTGCCTGTCTAATGAGGGTGGGTTAAAATGTCAAGGGTTTTTGAGAGGTTTTTTTACTACCTTGTTTCTTACTCTCGCAGTAGATGGTAATGAACTGACATGTTGCTTACTCATTGCGTTCATACGGTCCTGCAGGGACAAAAGAGTTGTTGCAGTTTAACTGCTTCTGCATAGTTTAGGAGGTCTTATGGGCGCATGAATACAAATGACTGTTCCTGCCTGGAAGCAAACAGACTTGGCTCTGTCATTAAAGAGTAGGTTCATGTTGAAGATAATGCAGAACTACCTTTGCCCAAGTGGGAGAAGCCTGCTTCTGTGTGGTGAAATTTCTCCTGGAGCTACGTTACCTGTGATGCTGGTCTTTTCCACTGCCAGTGAATCGGAGCAATTTCAGACCCATGATATCACACAGGGACATGCGAGGAGCCCTTTCTGCAGCCTCTGAGCACTGGTCCAGGATGGTGAGAGCAGCAATCCCTGGGTGAATGTGTGAGCAATGGTAAGGGGGCTGGTTTAGCCCCCTCACACACCCCTGGAGCTACCTCTCCCCCACAAAACCTGGTCCTTCACTGGATCCCCAGGGCAGCTCCCGAACCTGGGTGTTTCTTCAGCAGCTCCCTCAGCCATGCACAGCTCTCATGCCAAGCCCTTTCAAAACAGCAGAGGGATTTTGCTTGGTGTTTGTGAGGTAGAGACATCACAGATAAGGCTCTCATACAACAGAGCATCATCTGATGTACATCTGTAAAGGCAGCAATAGCCTAGGAAAGGGCCTGGGGGCAAAATGCCTAAAATAGGCTGTAATGAAAACGTGTGTATAAATGTATAGGAAGAAAAGCAGGTGAGGCGACCTCCAGTAAAAGCAGTAAAGTGACCTCCCTGTCCGTTCTTTCAGGTCAGCTGTTAAATGCATGGAAACTATGGATTTTGTCTGAATAAATCATTTCCCTGCATTTCACAGGGACAACCGCCAAGCACGGACTGCGCTGCAAGGCTTGTAAGATGAGCATCCACCACAAGTGTGCGGACAGCATTGGACAGCAGCGCTGCATGGGCAAGCTGGTAAGTGCAATGGGAAGCACTGCTGACCCTGTGTGCCTGACCTGGCTGGTGTTAGCTGGTGTGTGAACAGAACTGACACCAGGTCACTTCACTGAAGACAGAGAAGGGAAGGCAGGTTGGTCACCTTAGAATCCATTTGGGCAATTGCTGTTACTCATAGACCTGAACCATAATGAAGCACAAATCTGGTCTGTTTGTGGATGTGAAAATGCAGTTCCATAATCCAGATTCAGTTAAATAACAGAATTAATTCCCTTGGTTTAAACTGTGCTGTGTGTAGTGTAAATCTCACAAGGAATGCTAGAAATCAGTGAAAATATTCCAACAGAGTTTCATGAAAAATCCTTCAAATGATGTTTTATTGTTTTTTCCACTTGAAGAAAGCCCCAAATTCATCTTAAAAAGAAAACCAAAGGCTATTTCACTGTGGGACACTGCAGAGTTTGAATCAACCTCTCGTTAGGAGAGGCTGGGAGGAGATTTCCTCCCGTATGGAGCCCTGCCTGGCTCACCTTCTGAGCAGCAAATTCTCATTATTGGCATAGGCAGGACATCGTGTGTGAGACAACTCTAACCCAACTTGATGACTCTTATGGGAATGCAGTTCTTTTGGCAAAAGGACTTGGAAAAATGCCCATTTAGAGTATCAAAACTGAATAGACATATTCATGTTTCGCATGTTCTCATTTGCTGCAACCTGAAGGTACCCGAGACAAATATGAGCTAAACCCGAGCAGTTTCACTGTGTTAAATGATGAAAAAAAAAAGGCTTCAGAAGGCAGGAAAAAGAGTATTCAGTAAAAGCTATTGTTCATACACATGAGGCAAATCTTTATGCATTTAAACCATAACCATAGCCCTAGTGTGAAGCATTCTGATATAGGAAGTCAGTCTGTGAAGAGTTGGTGCCACTGCAAGTCCTGGACAAGTCAAATATAAAATCACATTACTTATTTGTGGTCATTAGTTTTCAGCAGCAGAAAAGTAGAGGGCAAATTTACATCAGGAAGCTGTCCAGCAAAGCTCCTGGGTTTTTCTGAGCTCACGTTATGTCTGAATCTATTTTGGGGGCAAACCATGGATCTGGAATTTATTACTCTAAGAAACCAAATTTATCAGCCTCCTCATTCCTTCTTAATCTGTACTGCGGCTCATTAGCAAAAGAATTAGTTGCCTATCATTTTTGATGTATACTAAGCATAGGATACAGTAGATGTGCACATCTCCATGAGGCTTTTCCACTTCTTACTGTGGCTGGAAGCTCTCGAGCCTGTGAAGATTACAAATCTGAGGGACCATTTGTGAGTCCCTATTACCTGGAAGGGTCTTTCCAATGCCTTAGATGTTAGCACCTTCATTTGGGGTCCTCGGCCTTCGCCTGAGGTATTTGCTAGCTGAGATAGTAAATAGAGAGGTAACAGGAAATGGTCAGCCTTCTAAGAAGTGTTTTATGAGTGGTATAGGGCACGGTTATTTGCCATATTGTGGCCTTTAATGGTACAGCTTGAGTTGTTACAGTGCATTTCTCTACAAAAGGGCACTGAGGGGATATCTGGTGACAACTTGGGAAGCTTGTGTCCTTACAAGACAAAAAGGCAGTGGGTCCTGCAGTCAGTGGGCAGCAAACCTCAGAAAAATCCATAGAAAGGCTCCAAATTCCTTGGGTTTCACATGTGGGCACACGAGGATTTGGCGTTAGGGCGGGGAAGGGTAGTCCTGTGTTTAGCAAATGCAAAACAATGCAGATTCACACTGCATAAAGAGAAAGGGAGAGGGGAACCTTCCCAGAACCTGTAATGATTCAGCACCTCTGCTGCAGCTGATCAGTGCTGCTTTTGTATGAGATGAAAGAAAAAGGGGAGCTGAAAATGAGCCCCTCCTTCCACATAAGGAAGGGAAACTGGGGATGAATCTAATTAATCCCTGATCTCTAAACCCCATGGTGAGTCAACAACAGGAGGCACATTTCCAGCCTCACCACCCTGTTATGCCGTTAGCACAGGAGCCGAGGTTGTTTCTACTGCCTGCATCATGGGAGCAGTGCACTTCACTTGTCTTTGCTTTCTCTCCCTCCAGCCAAAGGGATTTCGACGGTACTACAGCTCACCCCTACTCATTCATGAACAGTTTGGCTGCATCAAAGAAGTGATGCCTATTGGTAGGTTTCGATTGCTTTTCCGTTCAGTCTCCCTTGGGCAGTGCTTTGCAGCAGCAGCAGCAGCAGGCTGTTTACCCTCAGCAGCCTTCCAGCTCCTTTTGGTGGCTGGATGTCCTTCTGCCATCTCAGGAAAGGACCACTTCAAAGATAGAGAGCTGGAAGAGGAGAGGGTGTGTTTATTGTGCGCTTCACTCACCCCCCATACATGCAACCTCTTAGCAATCACCCTGCTTAGAATGATCACCAGCTGAGACCAAGGTTGGAACTTAAAAGGGAGGAAGCACTGGTGAAGGCCTGAGCTGGGAACAACCAGATAAAAGACAGATCAGAACAGCAGAAGGCATTCAGATCACTGGTCTGGCTTTGGAGGGACATTGCTCAGGTCCTGCTTGATTCCCTCCACACTCCTTCCTTTCCTCATGCTTTTCCCTTATTAACCATGTCTGCACACTGCCTGGGCATTGCAGAGACCAGATTTCACTCGCTCTGATACCAAACTCCTGGAAAGAAACCTTCTGAAATGGAGAAGTTGGGTCAATTCGAGGAAATAATTTCTCCCCCCAGTTCCCTGGCCAGGCAGTACAAACCATGAAAGCCAAAACTAGGCGGCCAGCTTACAGTTAGGTCTCTGAGGACATTTGCTGTGTTGTTTTCAGCAGTTTGAAAACAGGGGGGGTTAAATTAAAGAATTAAATGGATTTCATCTCAGTTTCTTTCTAAAAAAATGTTGTAATTCTTGTCAGAAACAATAGAAACGTTTTGAGCAAACTCTGGCTAAAAGTGAAGTGTGCTTTGCTCTCATCAAAGTTCCAAATCCCACGTGCTTTCTCAGTATACTGGCCAAAACTTACCTCCTTCTACACAGTACTACATATATAATGTATTGTACATGTCTGCTGCCTTGTACCACAAAGCAGGCTGAGGAGTGTTAAGTATGGAGAAAAGGATGTGAAGGGAATTTGCTTGTGCTAACTGAAAATGTCCATTTCTCTGCCGTGGCAAATGACTTTTAGAGGCAGCTATGAGGGACAGTGGCAATGAGAACTGAACAGACATAAACCAGTGGGAGTGAGTGGTCTCCTTTCTAGTCACTCCTAGGCTGAGCTGAGCAACTTGGAGCACGTTCCCAACAGCAGGTACCTACTCATGCCTGCCTCCAGACCTCATATGGCCCCACAGTGGGGGTGTCAGCATCTTTCAAGGAAGATCCAGGCCATCCTGTTTATCCACGTTAGCCAAGTAGGAGCGCTGAATGCAGATGGATAAAGGAGTTGGCCCACCCATACCACAAAGATGCTCAGGCACCACGCAGGGCTTTTCCCTTTAAGCATGCTGTTGAGGGCAATCCAAGAGGTCAGTGGTGGGAACAGGCAGTAAAGATGGATTGGAGTCACTGGCACTTTGTCTTCCTTACCTCAGTGTAGGCAGCATCAGCGGTGATTAGAGAAGAGGGATGGCAGGTGAAAAGAGACAAGGCAATGGCCAGGACCCTAAGAACCTGTATGAGGGGAGGATGATTTTGATGGGAGAAGCAGGAAATTGCTAGCAAAAGCCAATTCCACCAAGTTATCTAACACTTTGTATCAGGATAATCTGTCAGCTCGTGTCTAAGCATACACCCCAGCATGCTGGTAGAGGCAGGTATTTCTCCAGGTGGTGCAGGAACATGACCAGAAGTATCTCCAAGGGGTTGATGCACGTTTTGCTCCTTCTGTTGCAGCCTGCGGAAACAAGGTTGATCCTGTGTATGAAACTCTCCGCTTTGGGACCTCCTTAGCCCAGAAAACCAAAAAGGGCAGCTCTGGAAGCGGGTCTGATTCTCCAAACAGAAATTCTGTGAGTATCCCACGTCTTTGTTCCATTTTCTTTCTGGAGGAGCAGCAGATATTCACCCACAGGAGTTCATATCAGAGCTCACAAAACTTATATTTCAAACTGTAAAACACTAATCTCGTGCTGAGCTTCCAAAGTAAGACCAGGAAACACGTTGCTTTTGCAAACTGAGGTTTGAAATGTCATTGAGATGACGCCTGAGAAAAAGGGGGAAATGCAAATTAAATGAAAAAAATTAAAATACAAATTAAATGGAAAAAAAAGAAAATACAAATTAAATGAATAATCTTATTTTGTCAGATTGGAAAAGGGAATTGTGTTCTTTTGATTTTGATTGTGTGAAAGTGGAACAGAGATATTTAACCGTCATGCTGGAGTACATGCACACTGCCTGTGGTTGATGGTGGGCATTTACCCTTCATACAAGTGATGGCAATGGGCTGGAGTCCTCAGAGCCTGAATTTAAAAGGCCAAAGCTCCACAATACAAACCCAGACAAAACTAAGCCACTGTGACAAGGTAGCAGACTGACACTTCCACTCCTCAGTATAGGCTCAGCCTCACAGACCTGGATTCCTCTCCAAAACCCAAACTCCAGGCAGGTGTACACAGCTTGTTCTCTCCAGACAGGGAGATTTTCGCCTTTGTGCTAATCTTTGTCATTCACTTTCTCCTATCATAAAAGGCCAGGCAGAAAACTGGAGAAGGAGAACAAGGGAAACAATAGTTCCCTTAGCCCTGCTTTTGCTAAATCCCTACTTAGCTCAACAGTAACAATAACCAATTTCTGCCTTACAGGAATGGTTATTTCAGCAGTGTTGGAATCCATGAGACCAGGAGCTCATTCATGGTGTTGAAAGACTGTTTGCTACCCTTTCATCTCTCATAAACAGGGACTTCAGCCTATATATGCTTGAGGCTCTTTTGTTTTTCCATCGACATCCTTCCCACTGGTCCCCCCACCAAAAAGAAGGCACAACAAAATCACCCCTGAATACACTGGAGGCTAATGCTGGTTGTCATATCTAAAACTCAGACCCACATTATCTGACAATCTGTCCCACTCTCACCTCAGAATAAAAACCACCAGGCACAGAGACATAATGACACTTGGTCTCCAGGCCTCAGAGCAAACACTTATATGTTTGATTTGAAGCTGTACTATTATCTGTTCATGTTTGGTACAGCATCTCCCTGGCGCTTCAACGTATGCCCACTGAATTGTAACGTTAAGTGGTATAGGTGGCCACTAAACAGACATCCATTTGTGTCAGATGGGAAAGAAACCAGGCAAATTTAAACAAGAACTAAGTGAAATCTGCAAGGAAGTTATTAAACGACATGTCCTCTATCAACCCTTGTTTGTGCCTTAACAGAGGTTTTGTAATTCCCATTCTTCTTTAAAGCCAGAAGTAACACCACCACCTCTCGCCTTGTGGTTGCGTTTCTTTCAGTTATTTAATTTGCTTTGAAGAAAGGAGTTCTACAAATGTAATTATTGCTTCCTAAATCCACAAAGTGTTCTGTTGAATTATGAATGGCAACTCAAGTGTAGAAGTCACGACTGCTGCGTCAGCTTGCCCTAGGGAGCTGATCACGTCTAGGTGGGGTGTGGGTGGAGGATGAGGAATGCAAGTTCATTATGGGGATTTCTCCAGGGTATTGAGGCTGAGAGAGAATATAACATGTGTCAGCGTACAGAAAACAGGGAACATTAGAGAACTGAATAAACAGATATGTTAAACCATAGCTTGTGCCAGTGCAAGCTTGTGGATTGAGACAACCGGGGCAGACACAAGCCTGATCCAAGTGATGGATCTTTATAACTGTGATGTGTGACCCAGGAGCAGGCACTGAGCGGCGACCACAGCAGGGACATGACACAGAGCCCTTAGAGCAGAGGTAAAAATGCACCAGAGCATGTGAGCGAGCAGCACATGTGCAGTTAATAACACATAGGTACTAAGTTCTTTCCCCAGTGGTCCTCACTTCTGTGTTGCTTCACTCCTCTCCCAGCAGAAGCAGCCGTGTGAGGCTCACAGCAGCACAGAGGCTTTGCAGCATGCCTTGTCTCTACAGCCATAAAGCTTCCAGGACTGCAGTTCATGACTCTAGGCAGAGCAGAGAACTAGCCATGGTATTCTGAATATGAGTGAGCAGTGTGGATGCACCCACTGTGGTTTTTCAGCCCAGATTCTGCATTTCCCATAAAGGAAAGGGGCCATATGCTCCAGATTTACTACCTACTGCTTCCTTAAAACTGTGCTGCTGCAACCCACATTTATACAGAAAGTCACTCGAGGTGATGTAAACGTGATTCCAGTTCTCGTTAGCTTTTCGTAGCTCAGCTCCTCTCAAAAGCAGTTTTGTCCCGCTGTCATTTCTGTTAGAGCTCTTGAGTGTAAAATCGTTAACTGAGGTTACTTCAGGAGGTTTTGAATGAGGTGTGCACTGAAGAGACAGCCACTGAGCATCCCATATGCAGTAGTACCCAATAAAATATGAAGCTAATTATCAGCAATCATGTAATTATGAAGACAGTCTATGAAGAATGAGGAACATGCCATAGCAATGAGCTGGAAAATAGCTGGCACTTGCTGTTTCATCTAAGCCAGTTTCCCTTCTCCACACAGCAACTAGAATTCCCTAGGTAAGCTCTGCACTGTCTCCATGCTATTGCATATTGCGCCCATTGCTATTGCAGTGCCTTCTCATCTGGGGTGACCCATTTGTGCAAGATGCAAGAGAAACATGACCTGCTTCAAAAGGCTGTGTCTAAAAGCAATGCAGAACAGAGCAGTAAAGTGGAAGGCTCTTAAAATAGCAGGGGAAGCAACATAACCACAGGATACCTAAGGCATAAACCTACTTTTAACCTCTTTGTTCATTGGTATCCTTGGGTGGAGAAGTAGCTGGGAATGTACTAGATATGGAAAATAAAATTGTCACAGTACTTTCCAAACCAGCCTGGTTTTACTTGTCAACACTGCTAAAACAAACCCCAAAACCCCCATCAAAATCTCTAAAGCAACTCAGATCTTGAACAAAAGCAGTGGATGTTCCTCACCTGGCTTCTCTTCCTATAAGAAGGCAAAAGTCTGCAAAGCAATGGACAGAAGAGCCTTTGTGTACAGTACGATTGCAAAGTGTCATGGAAAACTGAAGTTACATCCTTGCATGTGTCTTGCGGTCCTGTTAACAAGAAACAAGCAAAGCTCAGGAGCACATCAGGGTTCAGTTTTTCAGATTGGAGAGAGCACCTGACTCAAGTTCAGCATTTGGGTTTTTTACTTTTATCAAAGGTGTTCTACCCAAAAGATGTCACAGAAACTGCAGTTCCATAAGGTCGGATTCAGACAGCCGTTTGGAGCAGCTCCTGGTTCCTGTCAGGCTATAGATGGAGAAGCTGACTACTCAACTGAGGAATCCAGTGCCTTATGCAGAGTATACTTCTGAGGCTTGAGATTATATCACCCGTGTTTTCCTACACTCTAGAACAATGGGTCCCTAACCATGATTGACATTAATGTGGTACAAATAAGAAATCATAGTAAGTCTAACACCACCACTTGGGTTTCATTTTTCCCTAACCATACCAACCAGATGACTTTAAAAAGCCCGTGAGGGCAGATATTTAAAGACTGACTTCACCAACTCCATCACACTCCAGCTCCTTCTTTCACAGCATGTTAACAGAACTGAAATCAATACATTACAGTTATTTTACTGAATAATGGATTCAGGGTTCGTAAATTAATAGTCACTGATTTCAATTAACATCCAGTCTGATGGTAGATAGCTATTTAGTATACCTGCAGGATCTACAAATCCCCCCAAGCTCCTTCTGTTTTATACAGAGAACCACATAGTTTAACATAATCCTTTGTTCCCTGATTTTCATTTCACTTTATACTGCAGAAATCTTTTGTGCTCCAGGCTGCCAATTTGGTCTGGAGTTCTTTCTGGGCTCCCTGGGAAGTAGGTATTTGTTGTGCATCACCAGGTACAATGTTTTCTGTAAGCCCATCAGGCTGACTTGCTCTGCTCTGATTAACACCCAACTACTGCCTTCCCCAAAGGCTCTTCTGTGGTCTTGGCTCACCCCATCTTGCTCTTCCTGTCCCTGCAGACAGCTGACCTGGCAGAAGTTCCTGAGGAAGGCGGCAGCTCTGCAGGCACCCTTGACATAAGCAGGAAGCGCAGCAACAGCGGTGAGTGCTGCCAGGCCAGGAGAGCATCTTCAGATGTACAGGCCTGCGTACAACCTATTTCAGATGGGGGTTTTATGGCATGTCCATATTTTAGCAGCATTCTGGCTTTCAGACGGGGAGTTGAGTGGGGGGTGAAGTTGGTGCAAGAGTTTGGGGAATGCTTTTTGCCATTCAGATGAAATCCAAGCCACCATTTTCTTTAGTTTCTGTGTCCAGACCTGATACTGGCCAAGGTTCAGGTTCATTCCCTATCTCCCATACTTCAGGAACATGGCTGTAGACTAATCACTTAACATGCTTCAGTTCAGCATTGGCTAAGTGGAACAAAACCAAATGTTTTCCATATGTTGGACTTGTCTACGTGGCTTTGTATACCATAACCTGTTTGGGACAGGAGATGAATCATGTAATATACATATGTCTGTGAAATATTGAACACAGTGAATCCTGATCATAATTGCAGCTCAGTACAAGTACAGTATGTGCTCAGTAATATTAATAGCCTAATTTCCTTGCCTGCTATGCAGTACCAGAGTAATGTTTTTACAGCATTGATGTGATGGGGTTTCAAGACCATCATACTCATAGAGAGCTTAGTAATGAAAACTTAATCAATGAAATTGGTGTTTGTGGCACTGTTCTTGAATTCAGTGAGGGAAGAAGTAAGTGCAGAAGGGTTTGGGACACTAAGCAAAGCTTCAGGTCCAGACCATCAGAGCAACTTCTCTGGCAGCACCTGGAGGCTGCCTTGCTAAATCTCAGGTGCTGCTAAAGAAGCTGATCTGATGATTTAGCATGTATCTCATACACTACCAAAATAAATCACTTTGAGCATCCTTTTCTTCTTCATAGCACCCCCAGTGCCCTTTACGTGCTGCTAGCAATACATGTAGGTAAAATGACAGCTCCAACTTGTCCATTCCCATTTTATGCTGTCTCCTTATTCCTTTCCTCCCCTCCTGGTCCTGTCACTGCTCACTGTGTTCAGTCATTTCCTCCCTCTCACTTTGTGCACACACCATCTGCGTTACCTGCTTTCTCTCAGCAATACATGTAGGTTCTCTGTTTTGCAAGTGCGAGCTGACCTGACCTGGTTAAAGAATTCAGCCTTGTTTAATCCTGCCCACCCGAGATTAATTTGATCCTGCATTTCCAGATAACTTTTCATTTCCCTGTCAATCGGTAGCTCCATTTCTGACACCCAAAGAAACTTTCTTCTCTGAGCTCTGTATTCACCGAATGCACCGAGGGGCCTTTAAGGAACTTACTCATAGAGATCAGTTTAAAAACTCAGCATGTGTCAAACCTCCACACAACTTCCGCGGCACATTAGCGATTCCTTTGATCAGCGCTGCCTTTTCCACAATCCATCCTTCAGAGGCTCAGGGTATAAATTATGCATCAGCCGCTCCAAAAGTTTCCCCTCGGTAGGTTTTTCATGGAGTGCCTGCACTGTTTGCCCAAGCGGTGGGATGGCAAAAGCCTTCTCCCACTGGAAAAAATCCCTCCTTTTTCTTTGCCTTTTTTTTTGCTGGCTGCTGCTAGGGCAAGCAAACGTGCAAATAAATGGGGTTTTGTCGTGCGGGGAAGTGGTCTACACACCCATATGGCATTTGGGAAGAGCCAGGGACCATGAGCTACACAGAGATTAAACGCTTAAGGAAGTGCATTGAATATATTATTGCAGGGTGATTCACCACTCCGTTCTCCTCGGCTGTCCCCTGCCCCTTCAGCAGGCAGTGCCACTGCAGTGCCTTGGTGAACCAACTCTATTCCGCTTCTTTCCCTTTTAATTAAAACAGGGCCTTCTGCAAATAAGATTTTTAGGCAAAGGTACTTTGGGGACTCTTTCCTGAAAGGGAAAGAATGGAAAAGACACAGCCTGCAGAAGGGTGAAAGAGCCCAGCACGTGTAGCCGTGGAATCACTCCTACAGACTGCTCGGACAACAACTTCAAAGGAAGGCTTTTTCAGTCAGAAACGAAGCAAGGCTTCCTAGTGTACGGCTGTAAGGTGGCATACCTGATTTCCAGCCCTTCAGCCTCCTCTAAGCCAGTTATGCTCCCTCACTGCTGTGAATTGCCATCTGTAACAGAAGTCCCGCAAGCCAAAATGTGGTTCAAGTGACACGTATGAATCTGTTATCAACAGGGATTTGAGCACTTTCCCCTCAAGTGAACTAAGGGATGTCTTCCCTACAAACCCAGGGTATATTTCAGCTCCCTCTCTACCTTCTGGGTCAGCTCCACAGCTTATGAGGCTGTACATTAGCCTCATAATGTACATAATGCATTATCTTTCAGCTTTATATCCTGTCACCAAGCAGATATCACTCCAAACATGATGCCAAAGTGCTTCTACTTTGTCTGGCGAATGGCTTTCTGCAAGTCCAACATGTTCCTGGCTACCCAAATTCATGATTAACTGGGACTTTTTCTATTTGTCTCCTCAACTTCTCTTCCTCTGGACACAAAAAACCAAAGAACAGTCACTTGAATAGGACTTAAACACTGCCAGCTTGTCACAGCAGCATTTTACACCCCTTTCTACAGATGTCAGATATACGCATGCACCCCTATACTAGAAGATAAAAGGACATTCATTTTGTGTTGGTTTTCCCTCTGGTACTGGTGGCAGATTGACAGTTTGCAGGGTCAGGTCTCTCTACAGAAGGACTTGGTAGATACAGATTGAGGCCCCCAGGTCAGTGCGGTCAGACCACGTGGATGGACCCAGCATGGGGCATTCTCAGGTTAATCGCTGCAGGTACCAGCTCACATGCTGTCTTCACATTGAGCTTTATGACTGCAATATTATTGCATTTTATCAGAGAATATGTGCTTGTGTGTGCTCATGGATACATACTAGTTTGCACAAGTCTTGTGCATGCTGTCGCTGCTGTTTTGGCTGTCTTTGTTACAAGAACACTGGTGTTTCAGTGTCTAGACACAACTCCCTATTCTCAAGAAACCTCACCATTTCACTCATAGAACTTCAGAGTTGTCATTCATAGTGACGCATTTGCAGGTGCTTTTGAACTGAAATACTGCTCGTCCTAAACATGGAAATCCAGCATTCAGTGGGAGGATGAGGCTGATGGACTTCAACTAGTAATGCAGTCAGGGGACCTAGGTTCTGCTCCCAGAGCTGCACTTGTGTATATTCACTTGATGAAAATGGTTTATTTGTTAGGATTGGAAATTCTTCAGGACAGGTTATTTTGTGCTGTATGCCAGTGTATGTGGTTTTGGGGGGGTGTAGAAGGGTTCAGAGGAGAGCACAAGGGATCAGAGAAATTAAGGGGGAAAGGAAACAGATTAACGCAATGAAAGTGATGCTGCTGAGGTGAAGAGTCTTACACTACCCCTAACGTGTCGTGTCTTTTCTTTATTGCAGTGTTTACATACTCTGAAAACGGCACAGAACACTTTGGAGAAGAACCAAAAAGTATACATTCCCTGGTATGGGCATACGTGTTGTGAGAACGCAATGGGAATGGGAACAGGAAATATATATATATGTGTATATATATAAAAATATGTATAAAAAGTATATATATATTTATATACATGTACATATATATAAATAAAAGTCTTGGTTTTATAGATAGCTGAGGCCCTTGAGTAGGTCTGCTGGGGGTCTATTCTGGGGAAGCACTGGTATCTGACTGTCACGTTCCTACACCATTTCTGGGCCACTGGCCACAGTTGGAAGCAATCTACAGGACTGGATGGCTCTTTGGTTTACCTGTTAGGGACTCCTTTATGTTCTGGTTGTGACAAATTGATATTGTGAACATAAAGGATCCAGTGTGGAGGCCATGTCGTTACAGCAGAACTCCAGGAACAGATCACACATATGGTGTGGAAAATCATTTGGGGTTTGGTTTAGGTGCCTTTTTTTCCCCCTCCAGTGGAGAAAGTGAGGAGAGAGAGGAGCCAGGGGGAAGCCCAGCCCAAGCAGCTTTCTGTTTCAGTGATTTTCCCACCCTAGCTTTTGGACCTGTGTACATATAGCTCTACCTCCATCATCCATAACAAGGCCTGCATAATAAACATATAATGGGAGTGATACACTACTGGGCTCATAAGAGTCATGCATCAACAGAGAGCAAAAGACAGACTCATTTTTAAGATCTCTCCCAAAAGACCTACTTGTGCAGGTTTCTGCTTGTGTTCTTTGGAAGCCTGGAATCTTGGGGTTCAAAGAGTCTTATTTCTAAGGGAAGATAGTTGCTGCCTTAGTGGTTCACAGTGTATCTGGACCATAGTCCTCTGAGGTGTGAAAGGAATAAGATGATTCTGGCTCATTTCTTGGAAGAACAGGCCCTGGTTTCACAGTCTCTAACAAAGTGAACCGTGTGGACAGGACAGATACTGAAATTTGTCTTTCTCTTCTTTCTTAAAGGGACCATTTTATAAAAGCACGTTACAAATGAACACCTATGTTGCCTTGTACAAATTTGTACCACAAGAAAATGAAGACTTGGAGATGAGGTAACAAAACATTCGTTAGTTGTTTTGGCCTGTGTGACTTTGGATGGGGAAGGTTTCATTCTGATATTCGTACTAAACACTTCTTATAGACATACCCATTTGTAGCTACAAAGGCATTCTCATGGGTGAAAAGCTGGTAACACAATAGAGGAAAAGTTTCAAAGCCACTTACATCACTTCAGGAGCAAGATGGCTTTCAGCTAGGAAATACTCAGTCCTCAGCTGCTTTGGCTTGTCCACCAGGATTTTTCACTAGGAATCCCTCACCAGCTCTCGCGCTGATTTCAGCAGCTTCCTTTCTCCCCTCAGCAGAGTTTAATTATTCCAAACACATTGGAACAGCTTCCCAAGAAGGGCTTGAGAAAAAATAGCAACCCTGTTGTCCTGGTGACAGCACCTCTCTGGGAAAGCTGGAAAACACTAGTTCAGGTGGTGCAGTGGTAGAGGACTGAATGCCTGTTTCTCCACTTGGAAAGTAAACCAAAGAGGCCCGCTACTGCACCCACATCCAGCTACATCCCGACAGGGCCACATGTTCTACGTGTGCTCTGCAAGAGCCCATGGAATTGGACCCGTATCCATCCAGGTGTATCTGTAAGCTCTTGGGCTGATACCTCAACACTACAGTGAGCCTAACAAGGAATGGGGGGAAAGCTGAATAATTAGGGGTCAGCCGTTATTAAGATCAAAGAAATCCCTGTTATCAAGCAGACAGAGCTTTCTGCCATTAATCTGTTTGGAAATGGGCTGCCACTTACATTCTACAATGCAGCGCTATTATAATAACATGCTAATGTTGATGAAGTGCTTCCAGTGGGGGAAGGAGGTCAAGTAAACTGTTCGACTACCTGCATACAATCAGCTCAGCACATTTTACTATTAGCATTTCCAGCCAAATTATTCTCCTAGCTCTGCTGTTGAACTAGTCAGCTGGATGCTGATACTTAGCAATTACCACCCTGCACCACACATTATAAAGGTAAATACGTCCCATTGAAATCAAAAAGACTTTCTTGGGCAGAATTATATCCCTGCTGACTAATTGCCTTTGTCAGTTAAATAGAACTATTTTCCTGCTGCCTTCCTTCTGCAATCACAGCTTGAAAACACAGATGATGAAGTGGTGTGTCCCAACAATGTGAAATGTCTTGAAGTAATAAGATAATGCCTGTAACAAATAGGGGCTGTATTTTAAACAGTTTCTTACTAAGCAGGAAGCAAAAATTCCAGTTCACAGATGTTGTCTCAAAATAAAGATCCAACCCAAACACACAGAGGCTCTCTTTCTGCATGATTGAAGTAAGCCTTGCTGCCTCATTGAGTCTACCTGCAGCCAATGCTCACGTACATTGACCAAGACCTCCTTCCTGTTAGAAGGCAATTGTGGAAGCTGATGTAACATCACAATTAAGACTCATCTTAACCACTATTCCTTTTCTAATTACAGGCCAGGGGATATGATCACTCTTCTGGAAGACTCCAATGAAGACTGGTGGAAGGTATGTGCATATTAGTTTTTACCTGTTTCCTTTACCTGTTTTCTTTCCAATACTGAACTTGTATGCAGGCTACTTATGTTAACAACCTTCTTCTGCCGATATGTTTTCTCCACAGGGGAAAATTGATGACAGAACTGGATTTTTTCCTGCTAACTTTGTTCAAAGAGTGCAACACAATGAGAAGATTTACAGGTGTATCAGGACATTCATTGGCTGCAAGGAACAGGGACAGATAACTCTGAAAGAGAACCAGGTAAGTTCCCTTGTGCCAGATCCCCACTGGACTTGAGCATCCACCAGTCTGATCGATTGTCTCACAGTCTCATCTGTTGTGCAAGATGAGCACAGGCAGATGCTGTTCACTCCAGTTTTACTACAGCATTATTTGTACAGTAATAGCATCTAATAGCCAGTTAAGAGCAGTGTTGGCCTTGTGCAAATGTATGCACCTTGCCTAATATAGCCAAGATTTTCAGACTCCAGACATTCATAAAGGTACTTTGCATTTTATGCACTTTGCTATTGACTTCAGAGGGACAGCTTGAAGAACACGCAGTCTTCTAGAGATAGAGCATGTGTGCTTGATAAATGATTTGGGTTTCTACTCACTATTAGAGCTAACCTAAAAGATAGTGGCTCCCTCCTCAGATCTTAACTTACCTGAAGATGCAAACACAGCTCATTGGTCTGGCTTCAAGAGGAACTGAGTTTAGACAGCACCAAACTAACCTGTAAATCTCTAATTTCACTCTCATTCACCAGTTGCAAAGTATCTTTAATCATTGATTGCTTGTGTCACCACTTGTGCACCTTCTCTACAGGGCTGTAATTTGTCCTGAACTAGAAGTGCTACTGTGAGTTAAAGTACATCGTGTACAGTGAGGACTCGCTGGGTCCACCCTGGCATGCTCTCAGCAGCTCCTCGGTTGGGCTCACTAGGCGAAAGCCACTGCCACCACTGTGAGATTTGCCTTCAATCTGATTTTAAACGTGATGTTCAACATTAAAACACCCAAGTGTGAAGACTTGTGATGCAGCTATGAATACTTGCTGGGGTAAAGTGAGAAAAGAAGGTTGCTCAAAACGTGCATTAAGGGACAGTCAGGTTTCTGGTGTAAGCTCAGGATGGCTGAGTAAGCGTGAAGCACAGCTTGAGTACTCTGACACCTGGATGAAATAGGTGGATTGTTCTCACTGCATCTTGTGAAGGCTCATGTTCTTCCACTTTACTACGTATTTCTTTTCCTTTGGCAATTGATGTCATATCAATTTTTTCCACACAGGACTTCTGTAACACTTCTTTTGTGGAGAAGGTTAATTTATACCTTTGCTGCTGCTGCTGTGCTGCTGCCTTGTGGCATAGCAAGCCATACAAGTGCCAACAACCCTTGGCTTTACATAGCTTTCTTGAGGAAGGCACAGCAATACAGTGACCAGAATACATTTTAACTGCCCCTGTGCACATAGTATGTGGGGCAGCCCTGAAGCTGCTAGAAAGAGAGAACAGTGCTTGATTATATTTCCTTTTTCTAACCCAGCACCTCTTTTGATGGTTTATATATGTGCACACAGAGGAAAAGAAATGTTACCAAAGCAGAATGAGAGATCTTGCACCCTTTGTGCTCTAGAATAAGCAATATATGAGAGTAAAGCTTGGGGGAACAGTAGTGTGGGAATATGGCATGCCAGCATGAGGGAATGCTCAGGGTCTGAGTCCCTTCACATCAGTGGATGTACCAGACCCTCTTTGTTAGCGTAGCTGCTGCTGCAGACAGTAAGAACCCAGCTTCTTGCCTCATTTCTCAAACTCACAGTTTCCAAGTGGGCAGATCTGGCAGCTTCATCTCAACACAAGGTCTTCCTATTGTCCCTATTTCATAACAGGCTCACAAGAGAGCTTGTAGTCAGGGACGCAGCATTGTCTGTGGTAGGGCAGGAGGAAAAGAAAGGGATGAACGCATCCTGCCTGTCTTCTGCTTCCTCCTGTTTAGTGAACTTACTCAGCTCTGTCTCAAAGCCCTGCAAATGCTGAGGTTGAATGTGAATGCTCCCAGTGAGAGAGGCTTCAGAGGGATAAAGAGATATTTGGTGTTAAACAATAGGGCAGGCAGACAAATGCAGAGACATCAGAGGGAAAGGAGGGGGACCAATAGATCCCACTCCACCCTTGCACAAATCATCCAAAAGGAGGCATCCAAGTTGCTGGTTTTGAGCATCCCTTGATAGCTGGCAGCATGCACAGGACCAGCAGGTAGCAGTGGGACAAGGACAGGAGCACAAGGTCTCCTGACCCTAACGTGTGGGACGTGTGCCTGCCGTGGAGATCGCGGTCTGAATGGCACAACTCTTTTGTCTCTGTTTTTAACAGAACAACTTTGCCTTCACTGTGGAAAATCTCTGATTGCAAAAACCAGTCTGATATCGAGAAGGTTTGTTTTTAATTCCAAAAATTATTTTATGTTTCCAAAGTGAAATTTTCTTTCTTCAGCCGTTTCTCTTCTTTTTTAAATCCTTTATTTCCCCGTTGTTTTGCTTGTGAAGCAGACAGAGGGATGGAATGGGGAAGAAAAGTCATCTGAATGGGGTTTCTGGGAAAAGCTTGGCAGAAGTTTGTTTGCTTGTTTGTTTTGTTCTATCTGGGGATGTCTGTGGGATATAACCACCCCTTTTAGCTGTCTCTGGGCACAGTGTCCAAAGCGCTGTGAATGCGGTGTAAGTACTATGTGCATAGTGCTGGCTTATTCCAGGTTAGCAAGAAGGGGAGGTTATTTATTGCTACCAATTGATGTCAAGTCTCACTTTAGCTAGAAAACCTCATTAACTGAGCTAATAAGTTCTTGTTACAGTGGGATGGCAAATTGTCTTGATTTTATACTGTTAATTCAGGGAGTCAGATGCTGCAAGGTCTAACAAGAGCCCAGAGCTATTGTAACAACAGAGGCAAGGATGACATGCCAAAAGATGGGAGATTGGGATGAGCTCTCAGGCAGAAGCCCAGAGAAGCTGTGGCTGCCCCATCCCTGGCAGTGTTCAAGGGCAGGTTGGACACAGGGGCTTGGAGCAAGCTGCTCCAGTGGAAGGGATCCCTGCCCGTGGCAAGGGTTGGAGCTGGAGGAGCTTTAAGGTCCCTTCCAACCCAAACCAGTCTGGGATTCCATGATGGATTATACTGCTTGATGCCCTCCATGGCTCACCCTGCAGGTCTCTCTCCCTTTTGTGCTTTAGATGAATGTTGCCAGGTGGAGTCTATTCTTCTAAGGCAAAAGGCACTCACATCAACAAAGCCACAGGACTACCATAAGAAAAGCCTTTTCAGGCAAGCAGAGACGTTGTCACAGTTTGGCGCTCAGTGGGTGAGGCTTCCTCTGGAATCACTGGGCAGTTTCATGCCCTGGCAATAACATTTTGAGCTCCATTTTCATGCAAACCTTCCTGGCAAGGCCAATACTGCAGGACAGGGCTGAGGGAAAAACAACGCAATTTGCTCACCCATCTTGAGCAATCTTGTCTTCCCAAAGGATGCCTCGGGAAGTTCATTCTGAAATGTGAAACCCAGCCTGGGGGGGAATGGGAGCAGTGCTTCAGACAGCAACCTCTGGGGGTTTAGGGTTCACTGACAGATTTGTGGGTCCTGAAACCATTTCAGAAGCTGACTGGGGACCACAGGGCTCAACCAGGAATCTGTGGCAGAGAGGCACACATAGGCCCTGACATCAATAAAGCAAGAGTATTAACAGGGCGACCGAACCCAGCCTATTTCTGTGGCTTTCCACTCTTCTAGGCTGTTTCACACACAACGCTGCCTGCATAATTTCCAACTCTGGTTGCTTGTACCATCACTTGGAAATATAATGTTGTCTCCAGCCTGTAACTTCTGCTCTAGCCTACCCGAATTCATTAGCACACATTATACAAATGCTTCCTTGCATGACTACAGGCTCTGATTTGACCTCTTTTAATGAAAGAAAAAGCCACCACATCTTAATATATCACCAGTGTTTGGAAAAGTGCCTCTTAAAATGCCTCTAACCTTTCTGGTCATCCTTATATTTAAAGTAGTCATAATAATCTATTGTTTGAATGTCTTGGTTTACTCCTTTTATGACACCCTACTTAAATAAAGGAAATAGCTTCTTTAAAACCAAGCTACTCCTGCCCTTCTCCAGCTGCCTCTGACGTCCAGAGTCACACTCATACAACCACTTTAGAGCTGGGCTTTTTGTGATTGAATAACACAATTGATTTTAAATTGCACAAGTCATCTTGTGCAATAGAAATGACCCTAAACCACCACATGTGTAACAGCACTGTCAGTCAGAAACTCCCTGCCTCATCTAGATGTGCACTGTGAGTTTACACAAAGGCCAGTGCAGCAGATCCAGTTTGAGATGGTATCACTGATGTAAATTAGACCTGCTACCAAAAAGCATCTCCCAGCCAGATTCTGCCATAGGCCACTGCTGTGGTCGGTGGCACAACCTCTGAACCAGAGCTGTCAGCCTGGCTGTCCCCTTGGCACCACAGCCCAAGGGACAAACTTCCCTCCTGACCCCAACACCCATCACATGGATTTCAGGGAGCCACATGTATGTTAGCAGCTGTGTGCAGATATGATCCAACCACTCCAGGAGAGCCTGGGAATGGGCTTAAACATATCCATGAGGCTGGCTTTAACAAGGCAGGGTTCCAGCCCAGGTCTATAGCCCTGGGAGATCTGCTTGTCTCAGGTCTTTTGATGAGCCTGGATGCTGTGTCCCTACCTGTTTTTTCACCTCACTGCCCAGGAATTCCTTTATGTCCCCACATCTTTCATCTGTGATACTCCAAAAGAAGCTGAACTCCCAGGAGCATGACTCAGCTGCCTTTGCAAATCAGTTGCATTAGGGTGACTTATGCATTTGGACTGAATGCCATAAAGCACAAGCCCAGTGCAGCAGGTGAGGTTGCAGTTCTTCACGTGCTTCACAGCTATAACTGGCTGCACTTCATGGCGAGCCTTAAGGGGAAAAGTGCCTTTTTCCTGCTGCCTCTGATTTCATTGACGTCAGCCTTGCTGAACAGGGAGGGGTGTCTTCATTCATTCATCCAGTTCAGCCCAGGTCATATTTAAAGCCCTAAGTAAGTGCTGTAGGTAAAACAAGCTGGTGCTCTCGGTCTAAAAGCTAATGAAATAACTGATGTAAACCCTGTCACCATTGTTTTCACTATGACCAAATGGCTATGAAAACTGAACTACTTACTTTTCCATCCACAAAGCTCCCATAAGCAAGAACTTCAGCACAGATGTAGAAACTCACAGTGACCCTGTGCTTTCATTCTTACACACAGAAGACTTGAGCTTTCAGAGCACTTCACCTGGTCTTCAGGCTCCAGGACAGCTCTTGCAACTGTCATTATAACCAAATTCCTACTTGATCAGAAGCAGTCTGTGGCTGATGAAAGAATTGAGAATTGACTTTAAGACATTAGATCCCACTTTCTGCTAGTCCTGATGCCTGAGAAACAGCCCGAGATGCAATTTCTCTACCCTGGGGCTTACTCCATCACTAACCTGTTGAGCTGGATGCAGGGGAAAAACCCAGCTGTTCATCCCCATTGGTGTTGCTACCAAACTTAGTGGAGAGTGGCTGCTCAGTGGCTCCCTTACCTGGCCCGGCCAGCAGCCTTGCCCCCAGGACACGCCAGCCTGAGCAGTTCCCATTTTATCAGGTAGTTTCCAATCTGACACAAAATCATGTGCGGCACCGAAGCAAAGCTACGGCACCTTGTGCTGCTGCAGCCATCAGGTTTGGCGTCTGTCACCAGGGCAACAGCTCCATCAGGTGGAGTCCAAGACCCTGGATAATGTGGCATATTGTAGGCAAGCTTGTTCTGCCCTCCACGCATCCCCTTCCCTGGGAAGGAGTGGGAAAAACCTCTGTCCTCTGACCACCGGCATATGCGAGGCTTAGTGCATTAGAGTGGGAGAATTTCAGCTGGAATTTGGGAGAATTCAGATCAATGCGTTCATATATAGTTCTTACAGAATGCCTTGTACTCCTCCTGCCCAGTGAAGATCTGAAGTTATTGCTATAGCAGGGGACAGCCACTGCTAGATCAAGGAGTACTCAAACCAGCAACAGAAACAAAGAACCCCCTCTAAACAAAAGACCAAATCTGCCATCCTTTTTCACTCCGAAGATAAAGGAAAGCAGTGTTCAGAAAGCTCAATATCTGCCTTTTGTCCCCAGATCATTCTGCTGACATCAGTTGAAAACTCTGATCTCACAATACATTGTGCACAGCAGCAGAGGGGTAAGCAAGAAATGCACGGTGGCAGCAGGCAGAGCAGATCTCCTTCTGGAGATCTATTTTGGGGACTCTTTGGCCCACACAGAAACCAGGGGTCTTGCAGACCCCTTTGGTTAGGAAGAAAGCACAGTGATGGAGCCAGGCATTCCTTTGAACCAGAAACAAAAGGCTGCAAAGGCTCGTTTCCCCACACAGCAGCAGGGATCAGCTGAACAGGGGCATCCTTCAACCAAGATGCTCTTTCCCAGTGTTGAATACTCTGCCACACTCAGCCACCCTTACCCTTGTGCTTCTTTGCAGGCTTTTTCTCTCACTGTTGGAGTTTCCATAGTCTTTCTTAGCCCAACATGTATCAGAGGTCAGAGACCCCTTTCTGTGTGTATGTGCTTCAAATGGTGATGCGACTGCAGAGGGGGCAGCTGCTGTGCTAGGGAATCACGCGCAAATGGGCTGGGCTGCTTTACAACACAGCCTAAACTAAACAGCATCAATTCCACACCTCCCACGCTTTCCATATGATTTAGCCCAAACAACGATAACATCATCTTTTTTCACTGCATGTCAGCACTGCTGGTGTGCTCAGTCATTCTGCCACAGGGATCCAGTTCAGTTAGTGTTCAGTAGGTAGCTTAATGAAATTAATGAGTCCATTTGCTTTCCAGACGTTTGTTTGCTGGTACAAAGATGCACCTGAGGATTTCTAAGTGCTGAAGGCAGCAAATATGAAGCAGCTTCACCTCCTTCTTATGACCTTTCATTTTCCTCTGCCAGCATCGCTGTTGAAAGTAAATGCTGTGTATGTAACAACAGCAGGACAAGCTGGCCCAGACTTCAGATGTGGTGTTTAGGTGTCACTGTGCAATCCACAGCAGTCATGCTGAAATGGATTTAGCCAGGAATACTCTAGGGTCATTTTTATTTCATTTCATACCCTCTGAATTATTGCAATTAAACACTGTAAATACCTACAGACAGAGCCTTTGTGAGTGTTAGGCCAGACAGAGGGCTCTGAAGACCTGGCACTGACATCATGAGAAATCAGTGAGCTGGTCTCAAAAGGACCATCAGTTTTCTGGCTGGTTTTCAGCCTTGTTTGATCAATAGGAAATATGCAACTCTTTGGCATAGATGAAGTGCCCAGGCTAAAGTACCGGTGCCACTGGGCTTTCAAATGGTCTGGCCGTTACCACAAGTGTCTCAGAAAGGGCCCTAAGGTGGCAATACCTGAGATCAAAGATACAAAATACCAGCTCAAAGATATGAAATACCGTGAAAAAAAATACAAAAATACCATGAAGACAAAGGTCTTCAGGAAATGCAAACCTTTACCAAGATGTAATATTTGTGCTATTGGAAAGACCATATGGTTTCACAACAACTGCCTCCATTTGGAGTAGGTGTGATGCAAACACACGCGCAGAGCTGGATTCAGACCACATACTTTGGTGCCCAAAACAGGCACGTGTAGGTGCAAGGGCTGAGTAAATAACATAACCCACTGCTCATCTGAGAAGTACCTTGAACATGCAGAAGAGAGTATGCTTGCATTCAGATCAGCTGCTGCAAGTGACCCACTTGGTGTCACAGTTCGGGGATGCTGATGAGGATGCTGGAGCACTGGCCCAGGGTGCCCAGAGAAGCTGTGGCTGCCCCATCCCTGGCAGTGTCCAAGGGCAGGTTGGACACAGGGGCTTGGAGCAAGCTGCTCTAGTGGAAGGGGTCCCTGCCTGTGGCAGGGGTTGGGACGGGAGGAGCCTTAAGGTCCCTTCCAACACAAACCAGTCTGGGATTCTAATTCATTTTCACCAGCAACATGTTGAGGGAGCCAGATAGCTCATGCTCTGGAATACCCCATTCCTCTTGTACACAAAGAACTAAATCACATCATTACAGCAGACCTCACAATTCAAGTTTCAAAACCTTTGATCCAGCACAAATCTCTTAACGATTTTCATGTTTCTTATGCAAACGTGGCACTTGGAGGAGGCGGCGGAGAGGCGACTCTCTGAATATGTGAGTTTGAGTTTCTTATCAAAGCAGGCAGACTCCAAAAGGGATTGTCCTACCTATAGAAATAACTAGCAGGAAGTCTAACCCACCTGATAAATAGCCTGGAATAATTTGTTGCTTTTGATCGTGGCAAAGAGTTTATTATTTTATTTTCATACCTTCTTTGCCTTCAGATTTGTGTGACTTCTGAAAAGGAACATGATGGCTTTATCAAAGTATACAGCGGGAAGAAGAAAGGCTTTGTCCCCATAGACGTCTTAGAAAACATCTGATTTCAACAACCCACCTGCTGCAGTAGGAGCCCTTTGTTGGCAATGCCTGTCTGCCTCATCTCACACTGTGTCAACCCAGAGGGGCTGTCTTGCAGATGTTCAGGGAAATAGTGAGAAAACTGCGACTACGAGAAGAAAAAGACATTTAGGCTGCCACAGCAACACTGAGAAATAAGAAAAGTGGAACGTTTGACAGCAAATACAGTCAGAAATCAATAGGGAAATGAGAGGTCCTTGGACACTAACAAGAATAAGGTAAGGAAAAGAAGAGGCTGGGCTGATTTCTGGTGCAGGATGCCTGCTACACCCTGATGGAGACGGACAGTTTGTTCCAAAGGACTAAACCTACGTCCTCTTCTTGTGTCTTAGAAACCTGTTGGGCTGCTTTCTTGTTTGAAGTGTGTGTTTCGGGGGGAGGGGGGAAAAACACCTTTCAAACTGTCCTCGTACTGCAGTCCAATGCTTGTAGGAAGTGTGGCTGTGGTTCTGTCCCATTATCAACCGACCGGTTTAAACCCTGGTGTTTAGTCCCATAGCAGCGCGGTTTGGAGCCACCACGTGAGCCGTGTCAGGCCGAGAAATGCACTGTGCCCTGAAAGTCAGCAGCTTTCTCTTTCTGTGCAATCCCCCCGTATGAAGGAGTAGCGAACCCGTGTGTCCTTTGTTTTCTCTGTATACGAGCAAAAGCTCTCAGCGTGGTTTGGGTGTGATGGCTGCTCTCATAGCTCACAATAGCTGGTCCTCCGATGCGCAAACCTGCTCAGAAGCATCCCTCTGTGTTTCCTGCACCTTGATCTGGTGATACAGAAATGCTGGGAGAGAGCCACAGGCTTGAAATGTTTTCTATTTTTCTGTGTTTATTGCACTTAAAAGATTTTATATATTAATCCTATTTATAAGAAACAATAAACCAATTAAGTCTCCCCCGGAAGACTGAAGATGCTAGGGAAGGGCAGACTGCACATGGAAGTGAAGTCTGTGATTGCTGAAATCCAGAACTCGCGATAGAAAGGCACTGTCTGAGTATTGTGTTCACACGCCAAAGGCATCTTCTTCATTTGCTGAATAGAAGTTTTGCAGATTCAGCAATAAATGCACTGTCATGAATTCCTCCTTGGTATAAACCTTTTCCATCTGTTTTGTCCATGTAAACCTCCATCTTCAAACACGTTTTGGGCACATGAACCTTTTGGTACCCAGGAAGCAGCCTGTGGGACCTGTGGATCTTGTCCAAACTGTACAAGTCAGCCAGTGCCAATCCTGTTGTACAGCAGGGGCCTTATGATGACTCCAGACAGGGAACCTATTTTCCAAGTATTTAATTGGATGTAATTGCACCAAACACACTCTAAAACAGCTTAGTATGTATTATGACGTGGAGATTAAGTCCTATCCCGAAGCTCCCTCCTGAATTCATGCCTTATTTGACCAGATTGAGACTGAATTTGAGTCTTTACTGAGATTAACCCCAAAACGATGTCCTAAATCCCGATGCCACAAGTAGAAACTCACATGCTGCCAGGCGAGTGTAGCCCTTTGCAAAGATGACGCTGTTTCCAAAACCAAGCTATCCATCCTGCCTCCGTGTACTGAGGCAGTTTGAGTCTCAGTAGTTGCCCTGTTTGAGTAGCTGATCTTACACAAAGCCTTATGAAATCCGGTGCAGCTCTACACACGGCCAGAAGCTCACAGAGCAGATCGGTCTACAACCTTTCAGAGACACCTTTTGCAGCTCTTACGTATCACTTGATTGCAGAGGAGGAAGCTGCAGGGGTGGCAACTGCTGAAATGTGGTCCCTCATAAGATAAGTTATTATAGTTGGTCTATACCAATCGACGTCCTCCTGGCTGATTTCATATCTTTTGTGGCAATATCAGCAATTTATAAATGTTAGGGTTTGGGTTTTTTCTCCAATTCAAACTGTGAACATTTGCTCAGCTCATTTTCCTAAGTAAGTAACCAATAAACTCGGTGCAAGGACAAAGGATTCTGTTAAGCCTTAAAGATCAAGAGGAAAAGCAGTGGAGATGTGGTCATCTGCTCTGCTTTAAAGGATGTACTTTTTAATTGTCACCTGTTCAAAATGAAAACTCAAGGTCTGTTAGAATGAAAATATTTGCTACTTTTGATCAGGCCTCTCACGTGGACAGAGGAAATCCGTATTAATCTCTACATATGTGCTGTTGTTTACACGATTGCATCATACTGTGATTCCCTCCTCTTTCAGTCTTCTATGATTTCAGTTTATCCCTACAATGTGCATTGTACTATGGAAAGAATTACATGAATATTACCTACAACTCACAATGGCCTTTAATCAATGTCAGTTTGATTCCTTTTGATACTGAGCAATAAATAATAAAGTGACTGAGTAAAAACAAACAGACCTTATGTGGACTGTATTACATCTGAGAAAGCATTGCTTCTGAACCAAAGCTTTCCTGGTTATCTTTGTGGGTTTTGTCTTTTTACTGGGCTATTGCTGCCGTTTGATCTGTAGAATGCCTAATTTAGCAAGAAGCACATACGTGAGTCTTACTTTAAGCATGTGATTCATTGGCTATTTGCATGCTTAAAGCTAAAGCACTTTGCTGAATTAAGGTAATTTTCCTTGAATTTATTTTGGATGCCTTACTCTGAATTCAGACGAGTATCCTGTCATTTTTTCCTACCACATGCAGTTCACCATAGGTACTGCATTAGCAAGCAGTTAAAGTCAGACAGAAAATGGACTTTATCTGACATGTGCTCAGAAAAAAATTGAATTTTAGGAGATAAATGCTGTTCAGATTTAATTTAATATTCTGCTTAATAAAAACTATGTGACGGTTGGAAGGAGAATAGAAGTGTATGTTTCTTGGCTTCTTTGCATTGGACTTTATCATATTCAGTTATCCACCTTCACGAACCTTCACTACACCCATCGTCATCAGGTGCTATTGAGCATTCCCATTTAAAATGTACAGCACTTGTATTTATTTGCCACATTTAGCAAACCATTTCTGAAGTAGCTCTTCTGCACTGTCTGCACCATGTGTAGACTCGGGGTGAAGTTTCATGGTGGGGCCACCTTGAGCATTTGTTTCTGGCACATCAGAACGTGTTTTAGCCGCTCCACATCTCATCGCAGCATAAAACCGGTACAGAATACTTTCATAAGTGCTAGGAAGAGTTGATCAACAGAAGCTGAGGATGAACTGCCTGAATCACCATCACCTCCTCCCGTCCGTAAATGACACAGCATCTCAGCTCATTATCATTATCATTTCTCTACACTTGGCCATTTTGACTTCCTTCAGAGACAGATGCTGCAGTGCAGAGTCAGCTGCGGATTCATGGCTCCAGGGAAACTAAGATGCTTCCATAGAGGTTGTGCATCTTTAGCACTGCTCACAGGCCTTTCCTTCTAATTATTTGCTGATAGTCAATTGGCTAAATATAGCATGCAGAACCATCAGAGGAACCTGCATAGAGCCAGCAGTGACACTGGAGGTTTGGAAGAACCGTGACCATCTGTGTAGGCTGTCTACACTGACACTAGACAGATGTCATTGCAAAATGAACTTAACTCATTTATTTTAAATATGCACAGATGAGGCTGATTTATTGAGCCTTTAAATTAGATCTTTCTTTCCCTAAAGGCCACTGAATAAATGCAGCAAGCCATAGCAATCTTACCCCATTGAAATCCACAGTGAAATGAATCCTTGAATGCCACAGGGACTGGAGGTCAACTGTGGTCTTGGAAAAGGCTAGTCAATGTTAAGTTCCCCCCAAAACCTATCATGTCATTTGTCTGATCTAACTGTAAATGTCTCCATCTAAGTGAGTAAATCAATTTGCTCTCATGCTTCCCCAGGAAAGAGGGTAACATGCACTTCAGTGCTATGGTTCACCTGAGCACCTGAAGACTTTTGCTTTTGCATGAGCTAGATTGTGCCTCACAAGTGCCCGTTTCTGCCCATCAACAACCAGGGCATCACTGGACACCTGGGGCAGATGTAGACTTCTGCAGATGTAACATCACTCTCAAGGCAGAAGAATTCCTAGCCCTAATTACTGGATATGTAGGTGTAACATGTATGTCTCTATAACAACCATGTGTCTTGTACTTTCTACAGTGCCTGTGAAGTTACCAGTCATGGTTGTTAGAAATGAGAAACAAAGTGCATTTTTTTCCTCATTTTCCTTCTGTAGAGTTCCCTTTACTGGCTGGTGGGTAAGGGTGGCTTCCTAAGTAAAACATTCTTCATTTAAATACAAACATAACTTAAATATCATATAGAATCAATCCTATTTAAGGACATTTGAATGTGAACAGGAAGAATATTAGCATGACCCTATCCCTGCCTGCAAAAATAGATTGCCCATAAGTTCCAAAAACAGAAGCAAGAAGAAACAAGAACAGAAGCATGCATATACCCTATGCCTAGGGCAATAGCTTTGTGTGTGGATCATTTTCTACTGGCATTTCGCAGTGTTCCTCCTGGACACCACTCTGAGATGCTCCGATCCACCAACGTGAATAACACTGGCCTGGGCAAGGGAGGGTGTTGCTTTGCTTATTCATACATAAAAGGCAAAAAAAGCATATATATATATTTTCTGTTCACTGGTGATTCACTTCTCAAATAGAAGTGAAAATAAGTCCAAAAGAAAGTGAACAATTACAAAGGATGCTAGGTTGTGTTTAAAATACCAGGAGGGAGGAGTGTGAATGATATTCCCATGCATGCTGCTTCTGTACTTTGCTCTATTACAAATAAGGTCACACCAACACAAGTCTTCAGTTTCATATTTGAGACATTTCCTAAACCAAATTATCATGCAGATCATGCAAAGCAAGGAGAATAAATATGTTTCCCAGTGGGAATACATGTCATCACAACATTGAGTGTTCCATGGCTAAAAGGAACATCTAAATCTGAAAGGTACATGAGAGCTATTTTTAAACCCATTCTTTATATTGTTATGTGCCTGGGGAGTGAACACGTGGCAGGGTCTTCACAAAGGTGGAGCAGAAAAACTATAGTAGGGTTGCTTGAGGTCAGTATGTTTGTCCATCTCCTGAGCGGCTCAGGGAAATCAGTACAACACCTACCTAAACTAATGTCATTTGGTCAATCAATCAGATTAATTTCATATTTTATATGCAAGCATGCAGGCAACACATAAACATATATAGATACACATGTATATCTTATATTCATTAACATCAACCCAAAGGCAAGAACACATGCCCTCAAAAATCTGGCCTGACTGATCTTTTCCTTATTAAAGTGCTCAGCGCCTAAACAGGATCATAATTGGTACCTGATAAGTACTGAGACAGACAACTACCCAGAGAAATCTAGCCCTGACAAGTCTTACCTGTGTTAAACAAAGCATATAACGCATAAACCAAGAGTTACAGGCAGTTGAACTGCAAATATGCAATACACTGAGTGCGGTCAAGATACTTGCTGCTCCAAAATGCACATCATTCATCAGGTGAAGGTAGGACTGCACTCTGCATACAAATTGGCATTCTGAAAGCGTTATCAGAACATGCAATCTTACCTGTTTGAGCTGGCTGCCTCACAGTAATGAGATAGATGGTGAAAACAGAGCATCACAAAGCTGAAACCACCTCTGCTGCTGGTCCTGCTGTGGCTGGGAAGGCTGCAGCACCTTCCTCACCAGCACACCAGCCATTCCCATTTTACACACAGAGTGAGCCTGACACCCTGTCCTGCCAGGGAAAACCTCTTAGGCCCATCCAGTGCATCCATTCTGTTCAATGCTTGCTGTCAAAAAGTTGCCCCCAAAAAGGCAGGGCTGGCATTGACCCTGGCTCAGCAGCCTGCCTGCATGAGCATCTTCTACGAACTGGTTGGAAACCCTCATTCAAAGGGACTGCTGT